ATGGGCGAGAATGAAGAAGCAGAAATGGGTATTGATCTAGTTTCTGATGCATCCTGCCTGTTACTACCCCACTCTGTGCCTCAGCTTCCCCTTGTGTAAAATGAGAGCTTCTCAAGTCACTTCCAGGTCTCGCAGCCTTGTGAGGCTATGTCGGCCCAGCCACGGGTGCTAGGTTGGAGGGGCACAGCCTTTGGGAAGGAGGAATGGGCCTGAGTGGAGTGGGAATCCCCAAGGGATGGGAATGTAGGGCCATTGTCCACCCAGGATGGGGAAGAGGAGGGAAAAGCTTGGGAGCCAGGGGTCCCTGAAGTATCTGCTTCTGTTGTAGTAGGCATTAATTCTATGTAAGGTAATTTGGAAAAGCATTCGAGTGAATTGAGGTCACCTGACGTGCTGGGCTTGTTTCAAGTTTCAAATGCACACTGCTGTGTATGGTATTGTTATGTCCCTAAAATTTTTATGTTGTGAGAATTGGTAAACTTTCGTATCAGTTATGTCAAGCAACTTTTTATAGCTTGGATGTTATTAGAGTATGAACTAAAAAAATTAAAAGAAGGTGAAAACTATGTTATTTTATCAGCCCTGCTAACCCTGTTTTATAATGGTTAGTAAATGCAATTTAGAAAACTGGCTATTTCCTCCTGTGCCTGTATGGTTAAGAGGGTGTTACAACTAAAGCTATTTGGCTCTCACTCATGAAAGTTGTAAGATTGTTAACTAAGCTGTTTGGAGTTATTGTCATGATGTTAAAACCTAAAATTGGTAATTAATTACTGTGTGAGAAAAGGTACAAAGGAAAGACCTTGCAGACCCCCTTGTTTTGTAAATTTGCCAGGTTCCTGGAAGCCATCCGTGTGGGCAAGGTCATCAGTCCTGGGAAAAGAGCTTGTTTGGGCTATGGAGTGCCTAAACAATGAAACTGGCTTACAGAGAATCTACAAGTTAGTGTATAATATAGAACTGATTTCACATGATTGATCTTTACTCCAGGGTGAGGTTAAACTTAAGAAGAAAAGAAAAACAAGTAAAGAATGTTAAGTGAAATCTCTTGCTCTGTCTGAGTCCTGGTAAACTTTTATTGCTCATTGTAGCTCCATGAGAGGAAAAATAAGTGTATCTTAGGGCCCTGAGCTGTGATTGGTGAAGCTTGTCATTTGAGGAAGCTCTTGGGATTGTAATTGGTATTGTTTTGAGTTTTGAATTCTGGTATAGTTGACTAATCCGCCATTCGAGAGACATACCACAAGCTTCTCAGATGTCTGTGATCTTGAACCATCACAGGTGGGAGTCTGTGTCTGGGAAAAAGCCGAGAGGACAACCTTGGCATAGAAGGAAAGAGACTTCTACCTCAGTTTCCCCATTGTGTTACTTCCTTTCGAACAGGAATGTTTCCCATCTGACTATTCCTGAGTCTGGCTATGAGGTGGAAATTGTTACTGCATGATTGCTTGTCAACTCTGACTCTTACTTGAAGTCAAACAGAGCTAAGGATGTTTCATCCTGCCATATATGTGCCCTTAGGTTTAGGCCTGAAGGACCAGTTTGAATGAGCTGGTAGATCAGGACACCCAGAAGATTAGAAAGAGAGGAAGTGAATGATTGCAGGGGCGGGCTGCCAAAGGAGATGGGCGAGAATGAAGAAGCGGAAATGGGTATTGATCTAGTTTCTGATGCATCCTGCCTGTTACTACCCCACTCTGTGCCTCAGCTTCCCCTTGTGTAAAATGAGAGCTTCTCAAGTCACTTCCAGGTCTATATCTGTGATCCTGTGATGAGATTACAGATCCACTGAAGTAGCAAAATATAATATACTATGTAATTTATACACACACACACACACATGCGTCTATATATCACTAGAAGCTTAATCTGTCTGTTGAATTGAATAGGGAACTCTCTGATGGCAAAGATATGTTTGAGTCCTATTTGTCTCTGCGTGGCCAAGGCCCAGCACAGGCCCTTGCAGGTCAGCAGGCCCAAGTCAATACTTCCAGAATTGAGATCAGTTCCTAGAGTTAGCTAACGATCACCTTTCTTCTCCTGGGTGTCCTGCCCATGGAATTTCCCTCCATGGGCCCCTTGCAGTAAGGAGGCAGGGAACCCAAAGGTCTTCTCTTTCTGCCCAGCTCTTGAGCCTCAGAGGTAGGGTAGTGAGTTCTAGAGCAGGAAGAAACCTTGGAGAGCTGTCCTAGGTAGATCCCTGGGTTGGGACTGTGGCTGTCCTTGTGGCCCATTCTTGCTGGATGGAGGCACTTCATCTGAATCCGTAAGTCCTTGCCTAGATTAAGAAAGCCTTTCTTCAAGCCTATATCAGATTGTGCGTCGTCTTGGGGAGGGTGGGGGGGAGGAAGGGGGAGAAAAATTTTCAACTCAAAAGATTATGGAAGTGATTGTTGATAAATCAAAATGAATTAATAAAAATTAAAGAAAAAAGAAAGAAAAAATAACGTACATAAAGAGAAGTACATAAAATACATAAAGAAATAAAGTACTTCAAAGAGAAGGAAAAAAAGGCTTGCTTCAGAGCAGTTTCAATTTAATCTGACCTAATTTGAAGCCCTTAAAAGTTTTCCAGCACCGCTCAGCAGTGGCCTGTCTGCTGATTCTGCATGGAGCCAGCAGGTGGGGGTAGTGAGTCACCAATACTTTTCTGCAGCTGTGGGCCTGTGTGTGTGTGTGTGTGTGTGTGTGTGCGTGTGCGCGTGCGCGCGCACGCTGGGTCCCCAGGAGCCCCACCCCATCCTCTGATGCTCCCAGAGGGCAGCTGTCATGATCAAGGATTTGCCCCTGTGTCTTAAATGAATAGCTGTCAAGACAATGCTTCTTGTCCCCCCCCCCCCCCCCCCCCCCCCCGGCTTCCTGCTCATCCATGAAGAGACCTGTTGTTTCTCTGGCCAAGAACGTTTCTCCCCCAGGCCTCCTCCTCTAGCTCAGAAGGGAGGGATGTTTTGGGTGGGCCGATGCCATCTTCCCCACTGGCCATTTCCTCCCTCCTCTCTTCGCCCTGCTGGTCGGATGCTGGATACCAACCTGCTCCCAGCTAGTTAGATGCTCCTTCCCCTCCCCCATTCCTACTCTGTGTCCAGGGCCCCTGGAGGAATCGTGCCTCAGCTGCTCTGCTGGAGAGACTTGCCATCCGTTCTCCTGCTCTGGAGATCTGGATTCAGCCTCTCCTCCTTGGTGAAGCTTCGTGTGAGCACACCGACTTCTCCCTTTTCTGAGAGCATGGTCCACGTGGTATGGCAGAAAGAATTTGGGCTTGGCAGGCAGAAGACACGAATTCTAGCTCTGTGTAACTTTGGTTAATACACACCCCACTCTGGGCCTCTATTTCCTCATCTATCAGATAAGGAGGTTAGGCCTCATTGGGCCTCTTCCTTGCTGCTAAGTGAATTTGACCTCTGCTTTTCCCATCTCCGTCCAGGTGATTTATTTTAATCTGCACCTTTAATGTAGGAAGGGGCCAGTGAGGTCATAGTGAAGTGAACAGAAGGAGGTAGGATTGGGGTCAGGAGAAGCCCTGGTTCTACTTGCCTCTTCTGATACTTCCTAGTTGTGAGGTGATGGTGTAATTTTGGTCAAGTCACTTGGCTTCTCTGGCCTCAGTTTCCTCATCTTTAAAATTGGACTAGATCACCTTTGAGGTCACTTTGAATCCTAAATCTGTGATCCTAATTCGCTTAATCTCTCTGAGCCTCAGTTTCCTTATCTGTAAAATTAGGATCACAAAATCAGGGCCTGCAACCCTAACCACACAGGGTTGTTCTCAGGTTTAGGTGAGCTGAGGTCCTACAATTCTCTTGTCCAACCCCTAGCTGCTGTGAGGACCAAAGGGGAGGAGAGAGGGTGGGCTTTGGGCACTTGGAATAACAGACAGGCAGACCAGGGCATAGTTTTATCTATGTCAGGTGGCCCAGTGGATACAGCCCTGCACCTGACTTGGAGTCAAGAAGACCTGAGTTCAAATCCAGCCTCAGATACTAGCTGTATACTCCTAGGCGAGTCACTTAATCGCTGCCTCAGTTTCCTCACCTGTAAAATGAGGATATTAATAATACTGTCCTCCCAGAGTTCTGAGGGTCAAATGAGATAATATTTGTAAAGTGCTTTGCAAACCTTAAAGCAGGACCTAAATTTGATTATGATCACGACCCAGCCAAACTGGCCTCCTATTCCAATGTCCTCTGGCATAGCTGGAGACTCTGCCTTTACTCTGGCCATCCCTTGGGCCTTCCCCTTTTCCACTTTCCTCTGCATCTTTAAAATCCCTCTCAAATGCCACCCCAGTCAGGAAGCTGGTCCTGACACTTTCCAGGCCAGATGACCAATTTTCCTTCTTAACCCTCTGTTAGCATTTTGTCTACCACACTTGCTAATAAATGCTTGTTGACTGACTGGCATGGATCTTGTGTGTGTGTGTGTGTGTGTGTGTGTGTGTGTGTGTGTGTGTGTCTTATCCCCTTATTTACTAGACTGGGAGCTCCCTGAGGGCAGGGATCCAAGGCTCATCTACAGTTTGTGTGTAACCCAGCACTTTCCCACAGTCTTTTGCACACAGTTGGTGGTTAATATGTGCTGCATCGAATTGAATTTCCCAAGCCAAGGCACTCCAGGCTGGGCTCAGCTGCAGTCTGCCCCTAAGCTTCAGAGCTGTTGCTGGGGTCTCTGAAGGCATGTTATCAAACTTGAGAACCTGGTCTCATGCGGCAGAATGCTGGGCCCTTGTATACGCTGAAGACGCCTTCTCCTGCCGAGTCCCAGGAACGGCCAAGGCTGAGAACCCACAGCTCTCGGAGAAAGGAGCTCAGGCCCTGTCATTCCAAGGGCTCCTCTCTACATGCCACCAGAGGGAGAAGGCCCTGGAGCCCCTGGCAGACCCAGAAGCCGTGGCTGCTTCCAGGGGACTAGATTGTGGAGAGAATCTTTCCCAGGCCCTATCTCGCCACAGCTGGGGACCAAAGTCAGCTGCCAGGAGCTGAGAAAGGACCCAGCCCGCTACCTGCTGCTGTTTGTTTCTTTATTTACACGGGTCTCTCACCAAAGACCGGAAGAACACAAACATTCAGGGCCAAGATGGGTCCGGGCAAGGGTAGGGGGTAGGGGCTGGGGGCTGGACGGCCATGCATGGAACACTGGGTCTGTGGGCACACACACGTGTTGGGTGCCTGGCCTGAGAGCTCAGACCTGAGCGTGTGTATGTGGGGTTAGTGGAGGTGGGTGGGGTGGGGGAGGCAGAGCCGAAAGCAGGGCCTCACAGCACAGACGGCAAAGGGCGGCATGCGAGAGATTTTGTCCTTAGACATCAAGATCTGTGCAGAGTGCGGAGCCTTCCCTCGAGGACTTCGGGGAGGGGAGGGAAGGCCTCGCAGTCAGCAAAGGATTTGTCTTTATCTCGTGCCAGGACTCCAAAGCAATTCTCTTTCTGTCTGTTTGTACCTCTCCCTCCCCCTTTCCTTTCCTGGGCTTTGTTCTGGGGTCGGGGTCGGGGTGGCATCAGCAGAGGGCGGGATCTGGGGAGGGCTGCTCAGTGGTCCGACCTCACTGGGTGGGGCCAGACTTGCTTTGCTCGAGTTCTCTGCCCAACCCATTCTCAAAGCCCACTTCCAAGATGTGCCAGGAGCCTTCTGTACGGGTCAGTTCTCCTGTGGCCACCAGAGGGCGCGCCCCTCGAAAGCCACCTTGGCCCAGGTGCGGGGCTCAGGGCGCCATTCCTATTAAGTGCTAACTATAAACTTGATTTCTTTCCACCACTATCCTGCTGGTCTGCTCAGGCCTTCGACAAACAAGGCTCAGATCCTCCTCCTGCAGCTTCTTCCTGGTGCACGGTCCCTTCCTTCCAACTGGAAAGCAGAAAAACCTGTTTCCCTGGTCCTTCCCTCTCCTCCTTGGAATCAGCAAGGCTTGGGAAATGAGCAGGGCCGTTGTTTCCCTGGAAGAGGACAAAAGTTCCCTGGGAAGCGGCTCTCCCATCTTCCTCCGCTCCCTAAAGTCTCTGCTTTTCTGGCCCAATGCTGGTGCCACCTCTTCCACGAAGCCTTCTGGATTCTCCTAGCTGCAAACATTGCCTCCCTTCTCAAATATCCCGAGATAATTTTGTCTGGATTTCTCCTTCGCCCCATCACTTTCAATACCGACATCACGTACATCGTGATCTATTGTGCCCCTGCGGTAACTTCCCTATTAGGCTGTAAGTTCCTTGAGGGCGCCACACAAGGCACGCTGTAGACAACAGGCGCTTAATCAGTACTGTTGAGCGGAATTGACGGGGATGGATGGGTGATGGGGCGGCTCTCTTAGGGTCGGGAAGCTGTGCTTACGCACAGGTATCGGCCTGGCGGGGCTAGGTTGGTCCGGGCGCGGCTCGGCATCAACACTGCCGGGACGGGGTGCGGTGCACAGAGCCCGGGCGCTTGGGGATCTTCCGCCAGCGCCTCTTGTCCCAGCGGCACAGCAGCAGCAGGCGGAATGTGTCGCGGAAGGCCTTGTTACAGAGCGCGTAGCACATGGGGTTGATGGTGCTGTTGACGTAGCAGAGCCAGTAACCCAGCTCCCACAGGGTCTCGGGCACGCAGTCAGTGCAGAAGGTGGACACCAGCACCATGATGTTGTACGGGGTCCAGGTGAGGATGAAGGCCAGGAGGATGGCGCTCAGGGTCCTGGCGGCCTTCTTCTCTTTGACCAGCGAGAAGGTCTTCCGCTTGCTCAGCTGCTCCTTTCCTTTCCTCTTCGGCTCCTTGCCCGGCCGCTCGCGGGTCTTCTTGGTGGGGCGCTTCACTGTCTGGGGGGACGCCCGCGGGGGTGGCTTGGCTGGAGCCTGGGCTTCTGGACCCACCATGGGCATCTTGATGACCACCTCGAAGCCTGCTTCCTCTCCCTCGGAGGACGTCAGAGATTCCAGGTAGCCTTCGTCCTCCTCTTCTTCCTCTTCTTCCTTCCAGCTGTAGGAAGGCAGGAGCCGGGGCCCCCAGCAACAGCAGCAGCGCCTCGCGGACACGTCAGGGGAACCTTCGGGACCCGGCTGCGACCGCTCCGAGCTGCTGCTGCTGCCTCCGCCTACGCCCTTCCCGGGCGTCTCGGAGCCCTGCAGCGCGGCCAGCTCCCTGGCCCTGGTCTCAGTCTCCCGGTAGATGCGCCAGTAAAGCACGCACATGACGGTGACGGGGAGGTAGAAAGCAGCCATGGCCGTCCCGAAGGTGATGATGGGTTCCGACAGGAACTGGATGTAGCACTGGCCCGCCTTCACGGTGCGCTTGCCCACCAGGTACTGCCAGAAGAGGATGGCCGGGGCCCAGAGCACGAAGGAGACCAGCCAGGCCAGGCCGATCATCAGCGCGGCTCGCCGAGGGGTCCTCTTGGCTCGGTAGCTGAGCGGCCTCGTGACGGAGAAATAGCGATCAAAGCTGATGAGCAGCAGGTTCATGACGGAGGCGTTGCTGGCCACATAGTCCAGGGCCAGCCAGAGGTCGCAGGCCAGCGTGCCGAGGGCCCAGCGCCCCATGACCAGGTAGGTGGTGTAGAGGTTCATGGAGACCACGCCGATGATGAGGTCGGCGCAGGCCAGGCTGAGCAGGAAGTAATTGTTGACTGTCTTGAGCTCACTGTTGACCTTGAAGGATATCAGCACCAGCAGGTTGCCGGTCACGGTGGCCAGCGAGAGCAGGCCCGTGGTGAGGATGATGAAGGCCACCTGCCACGGGCCCTTCACCGGCTCCAGGACGGTGATGTTGGGGCTCACGGCGGGGGCGACAGAGACGTTCATGTCAGCAGCTTGCTGGGCTACATGGGAGATGCAGAGTGGGCGAGGGAGAGGAGGGCCTTCCTCCCCTGGCTCAGGGGGCCGCCCCTTCCCTGGGCTCACGATTCCCCGGGGCGGGGAGACCGCTCCTGGGTTCCCTCAGGCCAAGACCAGCACCTGAAAGAAAAGATACGGAGCTCGTTCAGCCCCTCTAAAGGGCCCCAGTGGCGTGTTGGGCTGGGCAAGGGGTTTGCCTGGCATGCCGAGGGATGAGATAATGGGAAGTCCTCTGGTCCTGAAGGCAGATGATCTAGGTCCAATCCCAGCTCTGTATGACCCTGGGAGAACCATTTATCCTCTTTCTGCCTCAACATGCTCATGTGTAAAATGGGCACACCAACCAAGGAACTAAGAAATTTATTTAAGGTCATCTGAACTGGGCTCTCACTGCTGCCAGGCAATCCTTTAGCGTCTCCGAAGCCGATTCCCTATCCCACTCACCACAGTGACTCTCTTAAACCTTCTCATCCCTCCTCAAACTCCCATGGCTCCCCATCTCCTCCAGCAGACTTCTTGAGAAGACTGAGTCTGCACCTGATGGATGCCTCTACTTCCTCTCTTCTCAGTCTCTACAGTCTGGCTTCCCATTTCCTAAGCGCCCAATCTGGTGTCCTCATCCCAATTTTCATTCTTAGGATTTCTTGGCAGCCTTAGACAAGGTGTATTTTCCTAACAATCTAGTCTCTCTAGATTTCCATGACAATACTCTTTCCTGGTTCCTCTGTCTCCTTTGCTGGGTCTTCATCAAGCTCACACTTGTTAACCATAGGTGTCCCCCAAGGCCTGACTTGGGCCCTTTTTCTCATTTCTCTCTATACTGTCTTTTTTTTTTTTTTGCTTTTTAGTGAGGCAATCAGGGTTAAGTGACTTGGCCAGGGTCACACAGCTAGTAAGTGGCAAGTGCCTGAGGTTGCATTTGAACTCAGGTCCTCCTGACTACAAGGCTGGAGCTCTATCCACTGCACCACCTAGCTGCCCCTTCTATACTGTCTTAATCTTAATCGGTGATCTCATCAGCTCCCATAGATTCAATGATCATCTCTTAGCATATGACTCTCAGGTCACAGGGCCAGCCCTAACCTCTCTCCTGACCAATTAATCTAATCCATCAGAATGTAAGCTCCTTGAGGGCAGACACTAGCTTTTGCCTCTTTTGGTGTCCCCAGCACTTAGCACAGTGTTGGGCACAAGGGTAGGTGCTAAATGCATGCTTATTGACCGATCAACTCTAACCCTAATTCTGTACCTCTGCACTACAATCCCTCAGCTGTCAAACTGATGTCCCAACGTGTAGATCTGACCCTGGCGCCTCCCCCTACTCAATAAACTCCAGGGACCTCTAAGATCCAGCATAAAATCCTTTTTGGCTTTTAAAACCTTTCATTACCTGGCCCCTCCTACCTTTCCAGTCTTCTCCCACATCCCTCCCTTCCAGGGAATCTTCAGTCCAGGAACACTGGCCTCCATCCTGTTGCTCACACCCAACACTCCATCTCTTGACTTGGAGTGTTTTCAGTGACTCACCTCGATTCTCAGAATGCTCTCCCTCCTCATCTTGGCCTCCTGGCTTCCCTCAGGTCTCAGCTAGAGTCCCACTTTCTGGAAGAAGCTTTTCCCAGCCCTTCTTAAACTTCGTGCCTTGCGAGCTCCTTAAAAATTGAGACTGGGATTTTTTTTTTTTGCCTTTCTTTGTATCCCCAGCCCTTAGTATAGTGCCTGGCACACTAGGGGCTTAATACATCCTAGTTGACTGACCATGATGGTGTGTTGTCATGGAAACACTCCTAGCCTAGGAGTGAGGAGATCTCTTGTTTAAGTCAAGACAGTTTGCTAAGTAACCCTGGGCAAGCCATTTCCCTTCTCCATCTTTCAATTTCTTCTCTCAAACAGGGGGTATTGGACTAGATCCCTTCATTCGCTGCTGGTTCTGACAGTCTGTATTCTAAGTTAACTTTTCATTTGAACGTCTTCTGTTCCATTATCCCAGTTTCTGACATCTTGTGACTCTATGACTGAAGGACACTTCCAGCTTGGACATTCTGTGTCCTTGGGTCCCTTCCAACTCTGGCATTTTATTTTATGTTACCTTCCTGCTCTGACATTCCATTTTCTAAGGCCAACCCTGAGTGACCATGTACCACCACACTCCAGGCATTGTGTAGAGAGGAATCTTGTTCATGTTGGGTTTGACTGAGTGGTTTCTGTGATCCCTTCCTCGTCAAGGATTTGGTGATTTCGCATCTATTTCCGCTCCTTCAAACCTTTGCTCATGGTTTCCCCCCCCCCACCTTTCCCGATGGAGGCAGGACAAACCAATGATAACCGTGGGCCAGGACTGCCCTACAGGGCAGCCCCACTTGGGATCATCTGCAGCCTCCTTGCTTCTCTGAATTCTGCTGTGCCCCCTCTTTTGGGGCAGGAGGCAGGGGAAGAGGGGCTGGGAGAAGGGCCACTGGCTGGGCACATGCAGAGGGAGGTTGAGGGGCTTGTCCTTTCCCCTCAGACTGGTGGAGCCATGGACTGGCATTGGGAGGACAGAGGGCAAAAAGACACTGGTGGAGACGGGGAGCAGGAAGAGGGTCTGATGGGCAGGAGCAGATGAGGGAGATTTTGAGAGGAACAGGACAGAAGGAGGGAAGTTAAGTGGGGCAGCATGCACAATCTCCAGATCGCATGCCTTCTTTTTTGAGCTCCGGGGCCCTATTTTGGGGAGTGTGAGGAGCTGTGTATCCTTAGATCAACAACCTAGTCAGATTATTTGTTATGTCCTTCCAGCCTGGGGCAGGGGGCCAGGCTGTGAAGAGTGTAAACCTGAAAGGAAGAGAGAGAGAGAGGCCAGAGAGGCAGAGAACAAGGGAGGAGCTGGAGAGCAAGGTGATTAGAAGGAGGTGGGAGGTGTTTGAGCACTACTCGAGTACTGAGGCCACTGGAAGACCAATGAGACTCCTAAGGAGGCCAGAAGCCCTGGGTTTAAATCCCACCTCTGATGCTGGTGCCTCAGTTTCCTCATCTGTAAAATGGGGGTCATAATAGTGATAGCATTTAGTCCACAAGGTTGTATGATGGACCAGATGAGGGGCCTTAGAACAGGGAATTGTCAAAGCTGGAAGGGACCTTAAGATAACTTGGTAATTTTACAGATGGTGACAGAGCTCCAGTAAAGTGACTGCAGAGGCCTCCCCTCTTGAGGTATGTCCATGAGCATTTGGGGATAAGGAAGGATTATGCTAAGGAATCAGAGAATTCTGGGAAGAGACTTACCCAAGGTCACACAGCTAGTTAGTATGTTTAATTCCAGTCTACTCTTCCCAAGATGAGCCCTAGGGGATGGGCACTTCTAACCACCACCAAAGGCTGGATGGAGCAGAAGGCCACCTGCCCTTCCCCTTAACCCTTGGGAACTGGGTTGTTCAGGCCCTTCCCCCTGCTCTGTCCAGGCTTTCAAAGGGGTTCCTCTTGTTGGATTGTAACTGGAACCATCTATCACATGAGGAATTAGAAATAGGAAATAGGTCTACACACCTCATGCTCAAGAGTGGGCCAGGGAGGCAGCTAGGTGGTACAGTGGATGGACCTCCAGCTTTGGAGTTAGGAGGATCTGAGTTCAAATCTGACCTCAGATACTTGACACTTACTAGCTGTATGACCCTGGGCAAAGTCACTTAACCCCAACTGCCTCACCAAAAAGGCAAAAAAAAAAAAAAAGGTGGGACAGGACTGGGAGTCAATATGGCCCCTTGACTCTTATTTTATCTTATCTCTTATCAGACTGTGTGTGAGGTGTGAGTCTTTCCCTGGGGACAGCTGGCCATGGAGGAGCTGCATGGGTGCTCTAGATGAGGGAAGGCCTTTTTCTTTTTCTTTTTTTTTTTTCTTTTTCCTTTTTATTTTTAGGCAATTGGGGTTAAGTAACTTGCCCAAGGTCACACAGCTAGTGTCAAGTGTTTGGTCTGAGGCCAGATTTGAACTCAGGTCCTCCTTACTCCAGGGCTGGTGCTCTATCCACTGTGCCACCGAGCTGCCCTTGGGAAGGCCTTTTTCTAAGGCTAGGGGTGAGACTGTCCCTGAGTTCTGATTTTTGAGAGAGAATAAAGCATCCTTATCAATTATAGGACTTGAAGTTAGGAACACCTGAGTTCCAATCTGGTCTATTAGCCATGTGATTTTGGCCACTGTCACTTTGCCTTGCTCTGCCTCAGTTTCCTTATCTATAGGGGTAGTAATAGCACTTACCTCCCAGGATTGTTGAGAGGATCAAGTGAGATTATATATGTAAGGCACTTTACAAAACTAATAATAAAAATAGCATTTATATAGCCATTATTATTATCGTTGTTATTTTACAGATCTTGGTTTAGGGGCTGGCTTCCTCTGCCAGCATTTTTCTAACTTACAGGAAGGAAAATCGAAGCATGATGGGTCAGGGCTGGGGGTGGGAGCCCCCGTTTCCTCCTTTGTCCACAATCGAGTGTCAATTGTGACCCAGGGGGCTTCTTCATCCTTTGCACCCTCAGTGATGTAGTTCACATTTCCCCTCCCCTCCCTCCAAGCAGGGGGGGCTTAAGGACAAGAGGTCAGTCTTGTACCATAGCTGACTCTGGGGTCAGAAGGCCTTTGTTTAGATTCTACTCTGTACTTACTACTATGTGACTTTGGACCTGTCCTTTTCTGCCTTTGTGCCTCAGTTTCCTCTTCTGTAAAATGAGGGGCTTGGATGATCTATAAGATTCCTCTGGGCTCTAAATCTACGGTCCTATATAAGATGAGTTATACTGGGAGGTCTCTTCCACCTTGAAATTCTGTGATTCTAGCTCAGTTTTCCTTTTGGAGCTGGACAGTTGGCAGTTGGGAAGGTTCTGAACAAAGCCACAGAGAAAAGAGGAGAAGGTGGGGGCTGGGGGGCGGGGCACTCCTCTGTGCCTCAGTTTCCTCTTCTGTAAAATGAGGGGCTTGGATTGAATGGCCTCGACAATCCTTTCTGGCTCTTGAGCTACGGCCCTTTGACCATCTGAGCTCTGCTGGCCGCCTTTGCTCGAATCTTTCCTTCCGCTTGGAATGCCCTCTGGCCTCTGATTTGTTGAAAGCCCAGGCAGCCTTGAAAGCCTAACTCCAACACCGCCTTCTCCAGGAAGCTTTTTCTGGCCCCCTCAGGCCTACACGGGCTTCCCTCTCACATCTCACTAAACTTTGTTTGGGCCTGGCTCATGGCACACAATGTGCTTTAAGGTGATCTGTGGGGCTGTCTCATCTCCTTACGAGTGACCTCAGAGGCCATTTAGTCCAGCAACCCCATTTTACAGACAGGGAGACTGAGGCGCAGAGATTAAGTGACTTCCCCAAGATCATATAGCTGGTAGGTGGAGGAGCTGGGATTTGAACCCTGGTCTTTTGGTTAGAGAGCTCATTCCCTTGAGCTCCATGATGGCAGGGAATGAACTCTATCTTATCTAGACCTCCTAGCTCACACACAATAGGAGCTGGGTCAATCTTTGTTAAATGAATGGGGGAAGTGGGACTGAATCCAAGAGAATTTCCTGGGAAGCAGCCTCCTCCCTGCGCCCTCCCTGTTAGCTCTCTCCCACACTAGGGGATCCTGAGGGAAGCCTTCCTTGGTCCGTCAGTCCCATGCGGCTCAGATCTCCATCGTCCACGTGCTACTTCTAGGGTCTCCTGGGCTGTGCTCTGAATTTCCCAGTGTGAGTCTTGTCTTTCTCCTACTGGGAAATGAAGGCAAGGCAAGGGGTCATAGCTTCTCTGCCTTTCAACTGCCCCTTTCCTGACGGTTCAGTGTAAACCGTGGCCAGTGGCTCCTGTAGACAGATTGAGCAGCTAAGGTGGTAAGAGGCAGTATGTGGAGAGACACGTGTGGACTGGATTTGGAGTCAAGACCTGGGTTCAAATTCTGGCTCTGTTCCTCAATACTGTGTAACTTGAAACAAGTCATTTAACTGTTCCTGGCCTCAGTTTCCTCAGCTATAAAATGAAGGGGTTGGACCAGTAATTTCTAAGGTCCCCTCCCATGCTCCAAATCTATCATTCTTTGGGAGTAAGTTTTCTGAATTGGCTGGAAGACTGAGTGAGGGGGCTTGAGCTAGGACCAGCTGCCCACTCTGCTACACCAGGAAATGAAGGCGGTTGGCAGTCCAGGAAAGGAAGGGCCTTGCCCAGGCTGCACAGATTGGCATAAGGAGCCCGAGGGATGAGACAGAGACTGTGAGACCACCTGGGCAAACTCCAGGTAGGAAGGAGCCTCCCCTATGGAAGGGCTGGGCTTGATACAGGCGAGGCAATGTTAATAACTGCTCCTTTCTCCCAGCTCCCCTGCCTGCCCCCCAATATTATGGACCCTGGTCTGAATTATTCTGCCCCACAGAAGCTTCCATTAATACCAGGCTGGAACCCTAAGCCAACCCCCGCAGGAAGCAGTTCAATGAATGATGAGCACAGAACAATTCTGTTTTAGAGTCCTTTGATCATTGGACCTGGAAGGGACTTTAGAACATAGCCTAGAAAATGTCAGAGCTGCAAGGGACCTTAGAGCATAGAACAGAAAATATCAGAGCTGCAAGGGACCTTAGAACATAGACTAGAAAATGTCAGAGCTGCAAGGGACCTTGGAACATAGACTAGAAAATGTCAGAGCTGCAAGGGACCTTAGAGCATAGAACAGAAAATATCAGAGCTGCAAGGGATCTTAGAACATAGAACAGAAATATCAGAGATGCAAGGGACCTTAGAACTCAGAACAGAGAATGTCAGAGCTACAAGGGACCTTAGAACTCAGAACAGAGAATGTCAGAGCTGGAAGGGACCTTCCATTAGAGAAAGTTAGAGGTGAGAAGGACATTAGATCTGGCCTTCAGGGGGGTTTTAGTTGGTCATTATGGCACTCACAACGACCAGGACAGAAAGGAAAGGAAACAAGCATTTGCTATGAGCCAGGCACAGATCTGGTCTCATTTGGTCCTCACCACAATCCTGGACGTGTGTGCTGTCATGATCCCCATTTCACACTTGAGGCAGACACCCAGGATCACAGCTAGTAAGTCTCTGAGGCCAGAGCTAGCCACTGGGCTGCCTGGCTGTCTCTGATGGGGGCTTGGAGGGAGGGCAGGCTCTTTGGGAGTAGGGTCTGATGGACAGACAATGGATTTTAGTCTCAGGACTCATATTCAAATCTATCTCACCAGGTTAAAAAAAGAAGCCTGAAGCACCCACATGTAATAGATTAAGGAAAAGGTTTCTGCTTAGGGAGAAAAGAGAGCCAGGTGAAGCATCCATGGGACCAAGGGATTTTGCACAAATGAGGGAGATTTCAACAGTCAATTCATATCTCTCAGAATCTGTAAAATGCCTGGAAACCTCCGGTGGGTAAAGCCAGCCTCTCGAACCAAACCCGGTTTCAGCACCTGCAGCGAATGCTCTGCAGAGAAATTCTGGGAGAAATCTCTGGGAGATGGTAGCTAGAGAAACGCCCTCCGTTAGCCCCAGTTTCCCAATTTGTCAAGTAGGGACAAAGATTCTTGCATTCCCAGGGTGAAGAAAGCACCATAAAGATCCAAATATCATTATTCCAATTAGGAAGCAAAGAATGGGAATCAGAGACTCCCAGAATGTTCTGTCAGATGTCCTGTCTGTTCTCTTCCTTCCCTTGACTTCTATTTGCCCGGCACATCTGCGGCCCCCCCTCCCCTCCCAGCTTCCTGAGGACAAGGCTTGTTTAACTTTTTGGCCTGTGCACCATCGGGGCAGGTCTTGTGCATGTAGAGGACCTGACAAAAGTTTGTCAATTTGAGTTTTGCTTGAGGGGTGATCCTTTCTCTGCTCCAAGATTCAGTAACAATCTCTGCTGTATTTCTCTGTTAGAGATATTTGGAGGATCCAAGAAGATCCTGGGTGTGTGTGTGTGTGTGTGTGTGTGTGCATGCTAGGGCCATCTCCTGCTTAGCTGATAACGACCATAGGAATCTTCCTGGTCTGCTCCTTCTTCCCCTCCCTGTCTTCCTCTTTCTCTTCTCTCTCTCTTCTCTCCCACCCTCTTCTTTTCCTCTCTCTCCCTCCCTTCACCCCTCTCCGCCCCCCACATCTCTGTGTCGCCCATCACCATGGTACCCACTGCAGAACAGAAGCCGTGCTGGCTTCACCAACTTCTTTCTGCAGCGCTCACTCCCCACCCGTTTGGGAGACATTCAGCCTCTTAGCTCTTGGCCTTCCCCTTCCCTGTCCCCAAGACTGCCTTGGATCCACAGGTTTTCCCTGAACCAGGAATCCTGCCTTTCCCTCCTTCTACCTGGCCTGACTCTTTCCAATTCAGGGCACCTGCACCCTTCCCTCAGAGCCAGGTGTGCCTTGGCTGGGGCCCCAGTCCATCTATTTCCCCACTCTGATGAATATTAGCAGGAAACTGACCCCTCCCTCCCCACCCATGCCCAGGTAGATGTGGTAAGGGGAGAAGATGAGGAAGAGGAAATGGCCCCAGAGGGCCAGCTCCAGGTGGATGGGGGAGACAGAGGTAGCCAAGTGACTAACCTTTAGAGCAGGTGTGCAGGAGGGTCTATGTCATGTGGGGCTAGCATAGCCATTTACTTGGGAGCGGGAGGCTTCTAGGTGGGCAAGCCTGGCACGAACTTAATCCCTGAGCCTCCTAAAGTTTTGGAGGAAGCCGTTAAAAAGGGGGGATGTCTTCATGCCACTGGGTGGTACTGATGCTGCAGTGAACAGAGGGTGTGTGTGTGTGTGTGTGTGTGTGTGTGTGCTGTCCATTTTCCCAGGGTCTGGCCTGCACATCTGTGGACCTCCTTTCAATGAGATGATGACAGCTTAGATGTGTCCTGAGCCCACATGGGACTTGGAAGTGTGAGCCACCTTCTTACAGGGATGCCCAAAGTCATGGACCCCAGATGCAGAAAGGAATTGAGAGAGCAAGGTTTGGAGTCAGAAGGGCTGGCTGGGTCTTCCAAATTCTGACTTTGCTAACATGTGTGACCTTGGGCTCATGCCTTTCCCCTCCTTGGCCACTATGATCCCTTCTGTAAAATGAAATGGTCTTTGAGCTCCCAGAGGGGAGCCCTCCATGGCAGGGTGCCAGGTGTGTATTTGTGAAACTGCCCAAGCTGGGCCATGCCAGGCTGTGGAGCCACAGGTAAGGTCTCTACCCTCTCATCCACTTGCCCTGCACCATCCCAGATTCCAGTCGTGGAGCCTGGCCGGGCCAGGTCCTGCACCCACCTTGAGGTCTGGTTCCTCCTGCCAGGCTGCCGGGGTCAGTCCATCCTGGCGGGGGCCACAGGCAGGCGGCATTAGCTTGACACAAGGAGCCCTAGGAGATGGAAGGAGTTAGGTTCCCGGGGCCAAGAGGAGCCACCCCTTGGCATGCTAGGCACTGGCACCAGCTGATAACCCCAGATGAGGCACCACCCTCCTGGACAGGTCATCTGGCAGCTGCCACCTGGCTTTGCAGACCCTGATGTCTCGCCCTCCTCCCTGGTCCCTCGAAACAATTCCCTGCCCTCTGGAGCACCTGTTCTTGCATCTGGGCTACTCTTATCGGACCATAGGAGTCACCCAGGAGGTAGTCTAGTCCAATTCCATTCATTTTACAGAGAAGGAAAACGAGGCTCAGAAAGGTTAAGGGTCATGCCCAGGGTTATGGCAGAGCCAGGATCTTTTAAACCCAGAGACCTTCAGCCTGCCTGAGCCCACACCCCCATCCCTTGCTCTGCCCCTCCCCCTCTCCAGCAATTCCCCAAACCCAGCCTTTCTCAGCGTTCCCTAAAAACATCTGATTCATACTCTTTGAGATGGGGGGGTGGGCAGGGAGAAGGATTAGGAGTCGAGAACATATTCATTTACCCCTTCCCCCTCTGTTTCCCAGCAGTTACATCGTATGGGCCCCCAAACCTAGACCTGTCTTCCCTTCCAGAGTCCAGGTGTCCTCTCTTTCCCCCAGACCTCCCCCCACCCCCAGCTCCCCAGTGCCCGGAGTCCCTATTCTTCACCCTCTCCTCTCCAATCACACCGAGACAGCTACTCACCATGGAGGTGTGCGTGGGAGCAGGGGTCTGCCGGGGTCTCCAGTCCCACTCCCTCCCCAGGGGGACCGCGTCCTCTCGAGGGACCAGGACACTTGGCTCCCCCGGGGAGCTTCGTCCTGTGCTGGCAGCAGGAGAAGAACGGTTGTTGATTGGCATGTCCCACCCCCTGGCACGACAGCCCCTGGGGAGGGAGGAAAGAGGGAAGGAAGGAGGGAGGGAGGAACAGAGGGAGGGAAGGAGGGTGGAGCTGGGAGGGAGGATAGAGAGAGCTCTGAGCTTGAGGTGGCCCTGCAGGGCAAATCTGAGCACCCCCCCAACCTTAGGCAAGGGGGGCTGGGACAGGAAGGGGGGCAGGGCTGTGGGGAGGTGGCGGAGGTAAAAGCAAAGGGCTCCAGGATGCATAAGAAGAGGAGAGAAGGCGGATACAGGAGAGAGACAAACACCCCACACCCACAGACTGCACACAGATTCGAAGACACAGAGAATCTCACCCCTATATATATACACACAATCACACACACACGTAGAATCTCTTTGAAACAGCTCTGTGAGATCACAGCCACACAAATACACAACTAGGATCATGCAGAGCCGCACACTGTATGTGTATGTGTGTGTGAGAGGTGCCACCCCCCCTCTGCCCCCGTGCACTCCCCAAACATGCTCCAAGCCTTGGCTCGCATGGGACACGGCACGGAGGGGCTTGTCTGCCACCTGTACATGGGTGCCTACTGCACATGGCTCTGCCTTCCCTGCCTCATGCAGGTACACGAGATCCCCCCTGTCGTCCCCCTCCCCCTCCGCCCGCCCACACTGCCACCCTCCCACACAACCATACTCCAGGGCTCTCTGTTCTTTTTCCCCGTCTGTTTGGAAATGACACATTCGTCCTCACGTGAGACTCTCTAGCCTGGAGCAGACCCTAGGGCTGTGTGGGCCTGCCAAGACGTGAGCTTCTGTGTGCTCCCGGGGTGGCTGGGTGAGCTTGTGTGAGCGCCCCTGTGTTGTGGGCCTGGCTTCCCAGTGTCTGGGTGTGCGAAGCGCTCGCTAATTCAAGCCCTTTCCCCCTCCTTGCTCCGCCCCCAACTTTCACTTGGAGAGACAGACAGACAGGCAGACAGACAGCTCTCCGCCCTGCCTGTCACACTGTGTCTCCCCCCACTCCCACGCAAGGTTCACAACATACCTGGATATGGCAAACCTCTCCCATCCTCCCAACCTCACTGCAATGGAGCTCAGCCTTTCCCCACCCCCACCCCCACTTCTGCCTTGGTGCCTCTGGCCCCCACCCCCTGCTATTTCCCTGGCTCCCTCAGAGGTCCCCAAGGTCCTGCTCCAGGATGGGGCCCAGGAGCTGTGCACACTGAGGCTTAGACAGAGCAATGAGCCACATTGCTGCGGGGGACGATGGGGACTCCTAGCTGGTGTCCGGGTGGTCCCCGAGGAAGCAGGGGCCCGGTCTGGCTCTTTTTGTCCTCTCTGTCCTCCTCCAGGTATCCCATCTGGGCACTCTCCCCTCTTCCCTCCCCCCCATCCTATTGCTGGGTTTGTGTGTTCAGAGTTTCCCCAGAAACAGAACCTCCCTGGGAGTCCTTTGCTATAGAGACCTGGGCCCTATCCCTGCCCTTAAGTCCTGTGGGCCTCCTGGAGGTCAGAGAAACAAAGACTGAACCCCTATCCCCCCCTCCCACGAGAGGTCAGTTCTGTCTACCTCCCACTGGGTTCTGGGGAACTGACTGAGGAGTGTGGATGGTGGGGAGGGAGCCTTCTCAAGGCAAGGCTGGGGGATTTCCCAGAGGATCCTAGGATTGAAAGCTGCCCGGATGTGCCATGCAAAAAACCTTGCCTTCTCAGGGTTCTGGTGTCTGCAGATATATCTCCCAACCACTCGCTCTAGTCCGTGCCTTTATACTGATGTCTGGGGTGCTCCCCCTCCCCTTTTTGGCCTAGAATCCCTGGCTTCCTCCCAGACTCAGCTCAAATGTCACCTTGTGCGGGAGCCTTCCCCTTCTAGCATGACCTTTCCTCCACTCTGCATAGCTGGGGGAGATCCTACTCATGGATGCATTGAGGCCCACAGAAGAATGTGAGCTCGGTGAGGGCATAGACTGATTCTGTCTTTCTTTGTATTCTGAGTGCTTCAGGAACAGGGCCCAGCACACAGCAATTGCTTAAGAATTTCTTGTTGATTGATTGATTCAGGAAATAAAATGGGAGGAACTCACCTGGGGCCACAAAGGCAGAATTGGAAGAAACATAGAATGTCAGAACTGGGAGTGACCTTAGAACTGAATTGTCAGAGTATAAGTGAACTTTAGATCATAAAATGTTAGAGATGAACTAAACCTTGGAACATGAAATGTCAGAGCTGGGAGGGACCTTGAGAACGTGGGATGTCAGAGCTGGGAGGGACCTCAGAATGCGGGATGTCAGAGTTTGGGAGATGGTGTAGCCAATCCTTTCATCTTATGGTCCAGGAACATATACCCCTGGGAGAGGACATGAGTTGTTCATTGGTTCACAGGGAGGTCAGCTGCAGAGCCTCTGAGGGTGGGCATCAAATTCTAAGCAGAGCTGCCCCTGGACGTTGAAGAGATGGGATTGTCTATCCGGGTGGGGAACCTTGGCCTTAAGGCCACATGTGGCAGAATCCAAATGTTCTCCTTCTGTCTAGATCCTTAGACCTGTATTCCTCTGAAACTGGCTGCCACTCAGGACCGCCCTAGGGGGTGGCTCCCAGGGTACCCAGTGCCAGCTGCAGCCAGTACCCAGTGGCGGTGCACTTTGGCTCCGACAGCAATGGAACATGCAGGAGGCCTGGGAGCTGAGTGATACAGTCTTGGATTCAGGGGAAGGGAGGGGACGTCTCAGGTCTGCCAAGTTTCCTGCTCCACTGACAGGCTGGTGACCTCCCCACCCTCCCTACCGGCCACCTTTTCTTGAGATCCCTGGTGTATACCACCATCTGGAATGCATGAATCAGAGTGGCTGCTGTGGGTCCTTTATGACGGTCGTCTGGGTGTGGGCAACAAGGGGGGATGGAGTGGACCCAGCCCTTCCTGAGAATACTTCTCCACCCACTTCCACAGCTGGTCGAGGGTGCCTTTTCCCTCTGTCCTCTCTTATCCTCTCTAAAGGATGACAGATGTTTCTCCTTAACCTCTACTTTGGGGGTGGGAGCAAAGGCTTTCTCTCTCCTACCACCAGGCTATTCAGGGACCACAGGATTGGGGGTGGGAAGGGAGAAAGCTTTAGAGACAGCTCCTAAGTGACTTGAACCCCAGTCCTCCGGCACCAGGGGGGCTGGAACTGTTGCTTTCTGCTGCCTCTCTGGGGCCCATGCCAGTTTGGCCAGGCCAGCACCGTCTGATCCAATAAGCATTTAGGAAGCACCTGCCATGTGCCAGGCATTGTGCCATGTGCTGGGAATGCACAGACAGAGGGAGGAAGGGTCCCTGCCTTCCAGGAGTTTACATTCCATGGGAGGGGTACAACATGGAAAAGGAGAAGTAAATACAAGATGCTTGGAAGGGGTGGGGGAGGGAACTACCAACAGACAGGAATAGGCAAGTCCTGCCCACGGTGGGTAGCCTAGGAGCTGAGCCTTGGAGGAAGCAGGGCACTGATTCTTACAGCAGCCCAGGGATCCCTTCATCTCCAGTTGGCCCTGAACAAGACACAGGCTCTTCGGGTCCCTGGGTGTGTGACCTTGGGTGAAGCTGGCATTCACTTCCCTGGAGCCTATCAAACCAGGGGGATGGATTAGATGCTCGCCAAGCCTTCCTTCCAACGCTGCCATTTTTGCGGGCCATGGGGTGGCTGGCGGCGCCATCGGCAGCGGACCCAAGAGTTTGCCTCTTTTACAGAAGGGGACAGTGAACCAGGGGACGTGATCAAGGCTTGGGGTGGGAGCTTGAGGGTCAGCAGGTGTGTGGGTGACTCCAAGGTCCCATCCTCACTGCCTAACTCAAACACTGGTCCTGCTGCCCTCCCTAGTCGAACCTCCCCCGCACCCTCGCCAGATTTAGCCTGGAGGGAGGGAGGTTGGGAACAGTTTCTTTTTTTCTTATTTTAAGCAGCCTGGAGCGCAGCACGAATGAATTTCTGCACCACAAAAGGATCCCAGAAGAGGCTGTGCAGGTGCATATGGGGGGGGGGCGGGAGAATAGAGTGGCCAAGCCCTCGGCCCTGTCCAGTTCACTCTCTTCCTTCTCTGCCCTTACAGGCTCCTACTAGGCTGAGGCTGACCCCGGTCTCCGGCTCCTGGAGCCTCCCTCATCCCTCCCCTAGTCTCACTCTTCCCCCCTCTCCCATCACCTTCGATGGGGCCTTTCAAAGGTACTCAGAAAGCTTTAGAGTCAGGCTAGCCAATCTGATCTCCCATTGGCATATTGGGAAACTGAGGCTCAGAGAAAGGAAGGGACTGGCTTGAGATTACACAGCTAACTAAGTCACAGACCTGGACACTGGACACTTAGGTCTTCTGGCTCTCAGGATTCTGAAGGCTGCTAAGAAAGCAGCACTTCCTCCCTGTCCCCTGTCTCCCCCCCCCCCCGGGAGGAACCTCTGGGGAGGCAGGCTCCTGGGTCAGCGCCTACAGGAGCAGTCCAGATGCATGATCTCATCAGAGTAGACTTCCCATGGAAACCCCCACCACTGATGACCATTGATAACTTGTTGGCAAAGCCCAGCCTTGGACAGCTACCTGGGGGCACAGAGAGGTTAATCAACCACCAGAGTCACACAGCCTGCATGGTCAGAGGAAGGACCTTGGATGCAGGTCCTTCTTGACTCCAAGGCTCTGCCTCCCTCTTCCAGCATCGACTTTGGGAACAAATGCACTGCTCTCCAGTCATTCGCTCTCTCCTGCTCACATCATTGAAATCAGCCATTTAGAAGTCAAAGCATTTTAAGCCAGAAGGCCCCTTAGAGATAGCATTGCTTGTTGGGAACTCAGAGGCCACCTTGAGCCCAGCCGCTTCAATAGCTAATGATTTGTCTGCAGTCACACAGTGTGAGGGGCAGGATTTTTTTTTTTTTTGCTTAGGCAGTTGGGGTTAAGTGACTTGCCGAAGGTCACACAGCTAGTAAGCGTCAAGTGTTTGGTCTGAGGCCA